TCCGCGATTTATGACCGGTCACGTCAGCGTACCGTGGTCGTTGTACGCGCGTACGAGATCTCCGGCTTGATTAATGCAGGAAGGAATGATGGAAATAATATACAGCGTCCATTCCTCTTCTCGTTGTTGAACGTCAGGGAAAAAAAAAAACGCGAGCTTTCTTACGAAGCGATTTAAAACGTCCAAGCTATGAGCAACCTCGCTGATTAAAGCGCTGAAACGACGGACCTCCTAGAGACGCCTTATTCACGAAGTGTGCCAGCTGCGCGCGAGTGTTGTCTCTCGTGTCGAGATGAAGGGGATGAAGGGCCATCAAAAATGCATGGGCACGAAAAAGTCGGATCGATAAGCATGCGTGTCTTTTTGTGATTTCATCGATCGAGATTTTTATCAAAGGAATCTATAATCGAGTATTAATATAAAATAAATTAAATTTTCTTTATTTGCGATAAGAATATTATTACTAATTGTAAGTATTATTGCTAAAACATTTTCTCGTAAAATATGAGGAAGATATTGATTTATTTAATATATAATACCGATAATTTTATATATTAAATAAGTGCGATATATAATTTAATAGCATTATCGCATTCTAAAATATTTAATTTAATTTATGTATAATTTTATTTTTGAATCTTTCTCTTCAGTAAAACAAGTCTTCGATACGTCTTTACGAATAAAATTGGTCTCTAATTTTTCTTAAGTCACTATAATCCCACCTCGGTTTCTCTTATTGTTAATGAAACTATCACAAAGCATTCGTGATTGCAGCGAGATCTCTCAAAAGCGAATTAAACATGGAATTAATGAGCGAGAACCAATCACGATGCTACTTGACGTTGATTATAGCTACAGCGCTTATCGTTACGGTCTCTCCGCAATTGAAACCAATTAAATGTATATATTGTACCCTGTGAACATCCCTATTATAAACATCAATGAATCTAAAGTACCCTAGCGGAATAAAATATAAAGTGGACCAGCGTTTCAAATAACGTTTAAAACATTTCAAGTATCCTCCACATATTATTTATACGTGCGTGCGTGTACTGTCTTAATTAATAAATACAAAACGAGAAATAATATTTATATAAAAGCAAACTCTCTTTCTCTACGTGTAAAATAAAAATGTTATCTTAAAAAATATTTAACTCAGAAAGTTTCAATTAAATATGTACATTTCGATCATTTTGCTATTCCTAATAAGAAAAATAAAAAAATCAGAATCTTGCTTACAATGCTCGATAAACTCTTTATCAAGAAAACATTGATAGATTAAAATTTCATAAAATATCGTTCTATCATAAAGTTACTTTTTTTTCATATACATTTTTCAGGTATAAACCTGTATGACTCGTTACACACAAATATCCTTCAATATGCTCTAAATTTTCTCTCAGGCCAAGGAAGGTTCAAGATAAGATAGCGGATATAACACAAATCAAATAATCAAATAATAAGAAACTTTAATATATTTAAGATACCATTCTCCTTCACTTAATCATTCACACCCTAGGCCATTCTTGCAAATTATATTTTAAAGCAATTTTTTTTATCGCGATATTCCCTTGTACCTTCGCATCGTATTATCAACAACGACGATAACGTGTACCGAGAAACCATAATGGTAAAGAGATCGCGACTGGATAATACATCTCCAGAGTATCAAGAGCATGCGACCGACTACGTCCTCTCGCCAGGCGTGTGTTCGCGCAAATAAAATTCGAACCTTAAATAGCGCGACTGCGTGAACGAAGGGGTTAAAAGGCCTGTGCCTGAAATGAAAAACGTGCATCGTTTCGTAGCAAAGTAATATTCTATCGTCGGGATAATATTCAGCTCATGCGTGCATGCGACTCACAAAATCGCTGCTTAAGACGATGTTTATAGTACAGATGCATTCTGGGAAATTTTTATCCAGTGTGTTTTATTCTCACCAGATAAGCTCGGTCCATAATTAAGATCTATTTAAGTCTGTATTTTTATCTCACGTATAGCGTCTGAGAGTCACCGGATGTATCCTATTGACCGTAAATACTACAAAGTAGAATGGTTTTTGTTTTTTTATAAATCAATCTTGAAAACTAACGGATATTTTTAAATTAAATAAATTATGTTTTTTAATACATTTTAATAAAACTTGCAAGTTTCGCAAAATTTTTGTCCCACAAAAATAAAATAGTGTACTTTAAATTTGTTCAAATTTGAAAAAGTAAACAATATAATTCTGGCATATATTTCTGATAAAAGTTATTCGGCAAATCTTATAATAAAAAAATATTCTTCTTCCCTTTTTTGTAAAAATAAATTCATTAAAAATTAATTTCATTATTTATTCTCTTTCAATTTTGATATTTTAAATAAAATATCAGAAACTAATAATAATTTACATGTTCATTCACACTAAATTTTATAATATATTCTCAGATAATTTTCGCAATCGATCTTACTGACAAATGTAGGAATCCATAGGCATAAATCTATGTTAAATAAGAATGCGCAATAGCATTTTCGATTCATACCGCTGGGAATGCAGTTAAAGCCAATATTTATTCAAATCTCAATCAAAATGCACTAACATTAAAGAAGAATTCTGAATTGCCTAGCAATTATTCCTTGTATACGTATGAAATATGCTTGTAAAGAAAAAAATATCATAAAATTTACTACGCTCAATTCGGTACAAATTATAAAATTCGATAGCATGTATTAATTTTTTCTAATATAATACGATATGAATCCACCTGTAGGTACAAGACTATGCATACACGACCGCGACGAAATTTGTATTTAGGGTAATTTAATATTTAAAATACGTTTTTTTTTTCTCAAGTATAGATATTTTTTGATAAGATCGACTATTCTTTCATTTTTTTCTTGCAAAATTATGATTGCTATTTTTAGCATGATAAAAGTTTGAATTAAAATTCTGTTAAATTATAATATCCGCTTAGTAAAAATATAAGATTTTATTCAATCTATAATACATGAAGCGTAAAGATTTTATATTTTCAATCACTTATAATTTATAACTCAAAAGTTATTAATACTTGAACATTTTTTTATTAAACAAAAATCAACTGCAAAATAGGGCCTGATTTCTTTTTTAAGCTTTACAGATAGTACTTGTACTAATATACTATATCTTTACTAAGATGTACTATTCGATATTGAAGATTTGAAACAGATAAGCGATATCAAAGATCCAATATGCGGATAAAAAGAAATTTTCATTAAAATTAAATGGCATTATATGTAACAAAGCATTTCTGTCATGAATTTCTTATTGAAATGCGATATTGAGATTAATTTACTGCTAGTCCTTCTTAAATTTAATATATAAGAAAATTGCTTTTTCTTAAATATAAATTAAAATATATAAAGCACGATATTTTGCGTGTTTATTTTGATTTAAAAGATAATTTAATGCATTAACTGCACAACGCTACTATCATAAATTCTTTTAATCATATTTCAATATAAACTTTGCGATATGGATGTAAAAGGATCTCAATCATCTCTGCGTTTCTTCTCTCCATAAAAGATCAAACTTTTAATTACATTCAATCAATACTATTTAATACAAAAGTTTCGTCGCGGTAAGATACGTTATAGACACGAAAAACTCTTCTATTAAAGATCAACAATCTTTCCC